GGGGGTGGGGGTAGCAGCAGGAGCTGTGCCCCCCGGATGAGCCGCTCGTGTCTCAGTCCCGCACCCCGCTGGCTGTGCAGTGCCTGCCCCTCCCCTAGCCCCAGCCCGAGCCCCAGCCCCACTCCCTCTTCACCCCTGCTGCAGTTGCTGGAAGCCCTTGCCTGGGCTGCCTTGTGGCCATACCGCTGCCCCGTGTTTGGGGGGGTAAGCCCCATTAGCCCCCCCTCTTCTGCCTCCTATATGCCTATGGCCACCCACCCAACTCTGGGACTGCTAGAACCCAGTGCTACTTAGGATAGCCTTTGGAGCTATCTTAATGTGTGTCCAGTGACCTAACGTTCTGATAGGACATACCTGGAAAACAGCTGGGATACAGCATTGCTCTTAATGAGTTTTGGTGAGCTGTTGAGGGCTGCAGTGGTAGCCCTACTCCTTGACAGGTGCCCCACCCCTGGTAGCCATCTTGGGACTGGAAGCCCTGCCCTCTAGCCCCTGTCCTTTGCCACCCTGCTATTGACCCTGGAAGTACTCCATTTAGGGGAGGGTTTACCATCTTGGAACCAGAAAAAAAACGAATCATATACTAAAAATCAAACACCTACTAGAATGTATTTTAATTTTAGTTCACAAAATATTTTTGTCCTGATTTACATGTGGTTGTGTAGTATATATAGAGATGTTTACATAACAGTTCAAAAACAAAGTCTTAACTATTGTATGTGGTGGAGTATGTATGGTGGGGTATGGGTTGTGTACATGAGTGGGTGGGTGCATGTGTAAGGTTTGTGAGGGGTGTGACTATGTGGGGGGGTATAGGGTATTTTGTGGGTGGTAGGTGTGTGTGGGGAGGGTTGTGGGGTGTGAGGGAGAGCGGGAGAGTGTGGAGACCCCCCACATAACAGCCCCTGCCCCTGCCGGCAGCAGCAGCAGCAAGCAACGGGCCCTCAAGGTGCTTGTGGCCTGCACAGGCACAGCCACCACAACTCCCCCTCACTTCCAGTGGTGTCCCATGAGCTGTACATGGTGGCAGAGGGTGAAGCCAGGATGCCAGCTCCATCTCTCAGGGCTTCCCCACACCGGTACATGAATAAGGAGAGCTTCACGTGAGCCCCGCACAATAGAGGTGGGCCAGCCTGGTTCCGCTCCTTGCATCCATGTCCGGCTCCTGGAACTGGCTAGAGCTATGTGCTGCCCGGTGGCTGCATCTGTGAGAGCCATGAGCACTCCCGGGCCCTGCCTCCTGCTGCAGCTGTTGCAAACTCCAATGAGCACTGTGATCCATGGGTGGTGGGCACGTGAGGGGTCCCCACACCTCACACCACACAAACCTTACACACCCATACCCACACCCTGCTCACCTGAACTCCATATTTCCACCACAATGCTGAGTGCATGCCTCAGGCTATAGGCTGCTACCAGCCCCATGCTCTCACCCAGCCACAGCTTTGCTACCTGGTGCCTGGTGCAAGCAGTGCAGCAGTGACACAAGGAGGGGGCGCTGGAGGCTGGGGAAATAGAGCAGGTCCCCTGGCAGCTGCAGCAATGGCAGCAGAGGCCTCATCAAGAAGCTGAACACACTGGCTGGGGCTGGAGCCCTCCCAAATAGGAGGGTGCACAGGCTGGGTGGGGTACAGTTAATTGCTCGGTGCCTAATTGGATGAAATTGCCTGGCAGGTAGGGGTGCATGAAGCTTCAGGTGGTGATTCGATTCAGAGGAGATTTGGCCCGATTCGGTAGCCGAATCTCCGAATCTGAATCAAATCAGAGGACCAATTTAAAGGTCCGAATGAATTCAAAGGTCTCCAAATCTTTGTCAAAGATTTCCAGACCTTCAATGATTCGAGCAGTCCTTGGTGGCTGCAGCAGGGACAGTCACTCTGAGCGGGTAAGTCCTAGGGGCAGGAAAGCAGGGTTGGGAGAGGGGGAAGGGGACTATGGGGGGGACCCCTGCCAGCCCCCCAAACTACCGCTTGCTCCCCCAGCCTCCCCAATGAACGCCCACTCCCAGAGCCCACCCATGGCTAACTGCCTGCCCCAGCTCTGTACTTTAAAAAAACGCCCTGGTGCTCGCCAGGTGCCGCTGGGTGGGGGGTGATCCTCACTGCCCCCATCTGCCCCACGCTCCATGGGGGGCTCTGCACGAGCCCCCTCATCCCACCCCTCCTCCACCAGCCCCCAAAGGGCTGCCCTGCCTACAGGGGTTATGGTCCTTTAAGAAAAAAAAAAAAAACAGAAGAAAAGCCCCAGCTCCTTGTGCAGCCTCAAGGCTTTGGGGGCTCCTGCAGAGCACACCACGTGGCGTGGGGCAGCAGTGATCAAATCCGCCAGTACGAGTGCTGAGACCCGAGATATCTTCAGGATTTTATTTTCCTTCAAGAGCCAGAACTGGCTTGTGCAGGGCAACCATGAGAGGACTGGGGGAGCAGAAGGGGGTTTCAGGGGCTTGTATAGAGCCCCCATGCACCATGGGGAAGTGATGAGCAGTGGGTCTGGCACTCTGCCAAGCAGAACCTGCTAAGCCAGGGGGGGTTTTCCCCAAAGTGCCGGGAGATGGGATGAGTTTGAAGACGTCAAAGATCGCACTGAAATGCTGAGGATGGACTGAGAAGCAGACTGCAGGCTGGAAGGGAAATAATATATTCACCATGGTTGGTTGTCGATGATGCACAGGAGGGAAAGGAGTTGAAGCAGGGCCTGTGATAAGTCCCCTGTGACAGCTGGGCATCTGGTTCAGGGGGCAGGTAGTCTGTAGGAAGTCACCTTTGCAGCTGTGTATAACTCCAGGTGCCACCGCTTGCTGAGAGAGAGCTCTTCTAACACCCAAGAGGGTCCTACCTAGGGCAGTCATGGGTTTCTTCATCTGCATAGAGTTGGCCTGAAGTTCTGGAGCACCACGAATGCTGCTCCTGTCATGCCTGTGGCTTGGGGCAGTTCGTCTTGCGGGTCGCCCTGTAGTGCTGCTTCCTGAAATGAAACACCCAAAGAGTAGGGGAGGAAGACACCTACAGTGGGAGAGGTGAACTGAGAGCAGCTGCTCTCAAGCTTTGAGTGGCAGTAAGTGGGAAGCTTAGGTGGCCTCCAGCTTCTCTGCTCTTAGACTCATGCGACTGATGCTTGAACTCACAGAGCTGACCACGATGTTTGAGCATTACAATATGCTGGAAGAGTCGGGGAAAAACAACACGAATCTAGATAA